GATTAGAAATTAAGTGGTAGATATTTGACTGCCTTATTTCCGATAGTCGCCTGTTCGATTCCTCGCACGATGCAAACTTTTGTAGGCCAAAGGACGATTGTTGGTATCGGTCTGGGTGTTTTCTATGTATATTATGTGTGTATTTACAAAAAAACAACGGCTAAAGATTCTAATACTAATAGTAATATTATATTAACCCAGTTTTATAGGTAGAATTCATTTTTATTTCGAAATCATGCGGCAATGCCTAGTATTATATGTATTGGATAGTTCTTTTTAATTTAACTCCAGATAAACTAAAAAGAATAATTATCAAACAATTGACTGCCTATCTGCGAATATGTGACAACTATTACCTATATACTTGAACAGCACCACTAGGTAATTCGAATGTCTGCAAATAACAGGGTACGGAGGCATGAGCCTTCGTAACCCGTTATTTCAGCTTTGTACAATACTTTTTCAGGAACGATTTTCAAGCTAATATCTCAAATTATCCACCGATTACATTAATATGTTGTCCACATAGGCGTTTATGTGCTACTTATATATTTATAAAGCAATTACATGGTTCGTCGGATACAAAACGTTTTGGTGTTTTTGTTATTCTGCCAAAACCTACTGACGTCACCAAGTCATTTCGTTTTGGGAGGTTAAAGACATGATGGTTCTATATCAAGGTCCTTTTTTATATCTTTTACTCAGTCACTCATACTTACAAAAAATTAGATCATTTTGCATCCAGCTGTCTCTATTTTCCTAAGATAATTTAGTTTTAACTTAATAAAAAAACGAATACATAGTATCATTATTTTCTATAGAATAACAATATACCTAATACAACCTAATCTTCTTCAATTAAATTAAATAGAAGTTCGCAATAAAAACAATGTTATTGTAAAATTTTTGTCTGACTAACGAAATAATAAAATTATAGAGACAAGGTGACATGACAGAGTTGTAAAAAATGCAGCTTCTTTTAGTAATTTAGTGGAATTTCGTAGAGCGTGTCTAGACAACAAAGTTTAGTAAACGTCAAAGTCGTATTCACAATTAGGACATTTTTGGTTACTTACGCTCTGCCGTTTGTGTTTAATATAATATAATTTTAGTCGTTTAAAGTATTTTCAATGCATTTTGAGCAGTTATTTGTTATGACAAATGGGACAAGCTAGAAGCTAACCTTATTAAAATAAATAAATAAATATATGAGTATAAAAAAAACTGTAGAGGTAGGTAACTAGTACCCATTACTAACAATCCTCATTCATTCATAATTTAACAGCCACACACTTGTCCGTGGAGTGAAGTTCCACGATCTTCCATCATGCTCTTTAAATTTTGTTTTTAATCATCATGTAGTCTTCTCCACCTTCTCTTTCCTTTTTCTTTTTCCCACAATAATAATTTTCATAAAGTATTATGTAATCAAGTATCAATGTCGTATCAAGTGTCCTCACATTTTCCCTCATCTATTTTCTATAGTAGTTAATAGCCTTTTTTCATCCTGTATCTCTTCTATGTCTATATACTTAGTAAATTTTAGCAAATACCATGGAAGTGCAAATGTCATTGAATATTGTACTGTTTATATGCGGTATGGTACCAATTTATGTCTGTCTTGTATGTCAAACTATCATGCTTGCATCTTCATTCGCATTACATACAACAGTATATCTACTTGGTAAGAACATAACATACAGGTTTACGACTTGTTAACTGGTACGAGTACATCAACTAAGGTACTACCTACTTACCATTTTAGAAAATGTCAGCCTAGATATCAGTGTCTAGACGTATCACGAATAGTTAAATAATTACGTTACCAGTTTCTAGATATGTCACCATTAATGTACAACGATTTTTAAGTTCGTCATGGATATTATATACTATAGTATTAAATTTTGGCAAAAATATTGTGTAACTTGGGGCAATTACAGTTTTCCGGTTTCCAATTTTGTCGTATTTAATTTAAACAATCATAACTTATAATAATAAATTCAAATTATTTAGAATTACAATACAAATCTCAACTTATTAATTTATGTCAGTATATACCTAAAATTACAGACATACAAATAACTATCTCCGGCATTTTATTTACAACTATTATTTTTAAACAAAATATCATTAAGATCCCATTGCTTTTCAAAGCTATCGCATTGTTTAGTAATTCATTAAAAGCACCTTTTGAATATACATTTACGCAAAGAAATCCTTCACAAGTTCTTTTGTATTGTTAGTGGGTATACAAGTTAGATCCAGAAACTTATACATCATTATCATAAAATCAACAAATTATCAGCCTAATTATGGGCAGATATCCAATCTATCGATAATGACTGGATTTATCGCAATCTAAGGCATTATATAGAACGAGACAACGATAACTTGGTCTTTCTCGTACCGTGGCGATCGATACGTTATCAATAGATACATTTGCTACTTGTCTATTGAGACAGGAGTCTCTAAGAGGAGGATTTAAGTCTGCTATTACGCTTGGTAGGGTTTCCATATGAACTTTCCTCCTTTTACACTGAGTTATACTTTTAGGAAAAATAAAGTTGAATTAATGGTGAGATGTAGATAGTAATAAGTACATATTACATATATGTATGTGTACTACATAAAGATATAATATGTGTATTATATATATAATAATATATGTATTAGTGAACCTGTGGTATCGACTTGCGTGCTCACAAATCAAATCAAATAAAATAATTTTTATTCATGAAGGTTTATTGAAACTGTTATGACAAACGTACCGTAAAGTTGGAGTGCTTTCGAGCTAAGAAGAACCGACTAGAAAATCAGCTCTTCTTCTTCTTTATGAGCTTTAATGAGGTTGTACGGAGTACAATATTACAGGCTTATGTTTAAATTAAATTAGGGAGAATGTACTGACCACTAATATAATTATGCTATTGCATTTTTGTTAAAAGGAAATAATTTAATTAGTACATGTAACCTGAACTGACTAGTCCCTACAAGCAATAGATTAACAACCATAAAAAATTCATAAAAATACAGATACTCCACTTTATGTAATTTGGCCATTAAAAGCTATTTTTAGTAGCCGTTTTGGTTATTGTAAGTTTTTGGTATGTACTTACTATATGGAATTACTGTAGGTACTATCTTAATAAAGACTGATTTATAGGCAGTAAGGATTTTTTTAAATAGAATATAAACCAAACCTGACATAAAATTTCTTTACTATCGTTATGTTTATTAACTGGCAATATATTCTATAGGGTATGTATTATACTACAACAAGGAATGCAGATAATTTGGTAGCAGCTCATACAACTGCTTTTGAGCTATAAACATGATATAATATATATGCAAATTGAAAGATAATTATAAATGAAAGAGGAGGCAAAATATAGGGTATTGGATACTAGTAGATATTTAATACATGGGTAATATGTAACTCAAAAATTAATGAATTCGATACATTATCGTGTATAGTAGGTATGAAATTCTGGAACTTGACGTTTAAGCAATAATCCATTTGAACAAGACTTTTATTACATAATGAGGGTAATGATGTAACAGTATAATTAATTAATTTAGAATATTACTCTATTTTACAAGCAATGTTTGAATCAATACATGTCGTTGGAAGAATTGTAATATTGGAATTTATAGAATCAAGTAAATTAAAAACAATGACACATATTATTATATGAGTACCTAGTTATACTTGAAATACTTGTTAATTGTAAAATACATATCCAAGTTATTAATATTTAGAGACATTTTTTATTTGAAAGTGAAAAAATTACTATCAATCACAAATATTTATTGACGTTACAATTAAAATAAAACTTGATTATTCTAAACTACATAGATTGCCACATTGTTTAAAAGAAGAATGAGTAGCGAAATGAGAATATACTGAAGGGAGAGATAATTATAGAACGATAACAAAGTGAGTGATCTAGTCAAATTGTACTAGAACAGAGGAAAACTGACATTAAATGCAATAAAATTGTAATTTTGTTTAACAATAAGGAAAACATAGTAATAACATGTCGATTAGTGTCCACTCCTAGATATTTCCGAAATATTAAATAAACATTCTTGCTTAGATTTACATGAAGTTTATTATAATCGTCAGTATACCATACTATAGTTAATTATTTAATAACGTGATTTGGAAAATAATTGTTCTAATTTGTAATACTAACTTTTACCTAATATGTCTTAGAATAGTTTTCTAATTATACAAATCAATTAATTCGAACTTCAGAATCTTGTGAGTCTATATAAAGATGTAAGTAATTCCACTAAATTAGTAAAGGTATTTATTTTGTAATCATCCTTATGCGTTTTTTCATCAGCAGATCTACTCTGAAGTTTAATCTCAATATTGTTTTCAATTCAATGCAGCTTTTTACCGTTCGTTTGAAACGTAATCAATAAATTGATAACAATGTCAGTTACTGTTCTCACCACTAATGGAATTAATTCTTTGCTAGTGAAACGAACAAACCAATATCATTGGGGTAAAATTATAATAATTTCAAGTGTAGATTTAAGATTTAGCCCCTTTATCTGGTAGGCAGAACAAAATATCTCTCGCTTCGTGGTCTATTTAGCTTTCATAACTATTTAAATTATTTCTGATATTGACCTATTTATTATATTTATATTATGTATGTATTATTCGTATAACATAACGTCAAGATACTACATTATAAATATATATTTTTTTATCGTTTTCCTAAATATCTACATTTAAATATATAAACGCAATAAAAATTGTTAACTTACCGACTATTTCTTATCAGAAGCAATCGTCATATCCAGGAAAGAAATCAAAAATCATACATACAGAATGACGACAATTTGCCAAAGATCAATTTTATATGTGTAGTAGCATTAAAAAATATATTTTATGTATTTTTTATTGCTACTATTAAGCGATGTGTTATCATTCATTATCAATTAAAAGAAACTGCGCACGCGATGGTAACAGTCAGTCGTGCCCGGGCTGCGTTCTGAGGTGCGCGTACCACGTACTGCTTTGTGCCGCAAAAATTCTTCGCGTGTTATTTTTTTAATAATGGTGAGTGATTGTGTTTATTTTCTGTGTCAAATATAATTAATTACCGTGACTTACCGATACAAATAGGACCTTCGAATTGCATTAGCATTTTGAATTTCACGTGTTTATCAGAGTAATTTTATTACGGTAATTATATTTAGAAAATACGTGACATATTGGTATGTATTTATATTTTAAAATATAGTTAACAAAATAATTATCGACAGTGTATTTAAGAAGTACCAATATTGCAGCATGGTTTATGTTACCACAGATAAGAGAATGTTACATTTGCATTATATGTAATGCACATTTCGTCCGTATATGCAAGTGATACACTTCCATTCATAAAATAGTCGGTCAGCAGAATTAAGTGTGCGTGCATTTATTGGACTAAATAAAAAAATGCAGACAAACACGTGTTCACTGGCACCGTACACGACGGTTATGATAAAGACGATCATTCATTGCACACCATCCATCATCCACATCCTTTCCAGTAAGTTACCGGTTCGCTAGGACGATCACTGATGCAATAGCTGTATGTTTTATGGAGAATAAATAAAACATCTATTGATCTTAGAGTCTATTCATAAATTATCTCTAGCTAATTTTAGAGAGGTCACATTTTAATAGTTAAAAATTGTTGTTTGATGGGAAGGGCTCCAGATTTTATAATTGTTTACCTCCATACAAGGATACACATTTTCATACATTGTCGATCACCTCCCCTCTTAAAGTCCTGACGAAATTATGTATGGCGTAAGACGCCATACATAATTTCGGTCGTATGCACATGGTTAATACAAAAATTACAATCATGAAAATTATTATCCTAAGAATATATTATTACAATTATAAATGTAGTAGTCATTCATCATTCAAATTAATATCCTATTAAATTAATGTAAGAAAATATAAATTAATTTTATATCAATTTAGTAATCATATTTAATTTATAGTTATAGTGAATAATTTCAAGTCTTTGCGTTTTTTAATTTATATAAAAATATTATGTTTAATATAGTATTGTAGTAAATTTCGAGGACAATCAATATACTATAAGGAAAAGTCAAAATTCGTCAATATATTGAGTAACAAGGGTATATGCAAAAAAGTATTAATACGAATTTCCTCCTTTTTTAGTAGTCGGCTGTTTATGGTATGAATGAAATGACTATGATACATAACTGGTTATGAGAATTACCTTATACGAAAATAAGGTAAATACGGACTTTATAATTGAGCTGACAATTTGAAATACACACACACCTGCATTGGTAATTACACGTATAATATGCAGGTTCAATCCGCACTGAGAATTTTAATTAAATTTTAATAACTTCTATTCGAAATTTGAATTTAAATTCCAAACGAAAATTTTGAAGAATTTATAGCTAGATAGATATTTTAATTAAATGTAATATATATTATAGCTATGTTCTTTATCACCATAAAAAGCCGCTATGAACCATTGTATCTCACAATATCCCACATTTTGAGATACTTTCCATATTTCTCGTCGATCATCCAATATCCTATAGAACTACTTAAACAGGCATATTCCTTCTAGAAAACTTCAAAGACAACAAACGAGACTTCAGATTTATAAATGCTAAATATATAAAATAACTGTGAAAAGAAGGAAATCAAATGTGACAGATGTCAATGGGAAAAACCTATATCCAGCAGTAATACTGACATGTGATACGAAAGCTGATAAGAGGAAAAAAAGCGCGGTAAAAAAATCATAGTGCGTCTATGAAATAACTTCCACGTGACCACATTCTCATTTTAAAATGTTAAAACGAACGAGTCGTGTAACCGATACTGAACCTAAACGCTTTGGATTAATGATGAATTTTCAAAATGACACAATTTCAAAACGACTCTTTTCATATAGTTTCAAATTATTGCTTTTGTATCATCGAATATATACAGAATGTACCTGTGAATGACGGATCTGTCTGAAACAGAAAACATTTTTGTTACATAATTTTTTGTCTGTACATATATATTTCCATTATTTATTGAGAGCTCAATGACACAGTGGCTTACAACAACGATTTCAAAGGATGTGAGTTCTATTCTTCTTGGCAACGGCAAAAAATATTGTGTATCAAATTATATTTCTGGCTAACTTTCCGGTGATGAAAACACTTGATGAAGACCTAATTAAATCAAGAGACGGCGCGGCGGTAGAGTTTGTAGAATTTATGGATTTGAGAGTTTGTCACCTGTAGTTTTACCACGACTTCGACAGAAATCAATATTTCTGAATATACATATCAATGAATATAGATATGTTATTAGACTCAGTTTGCCTGCTTAGTCTTCGTAATTGCTAGTTTGTTAGTATAATACAGATCTCATGATATTTTATCAATAACACAATTGTTCAATAGTCAGTAATTAATTTATACAAATTAAACAATACTCGTAGATATGTGCTTCAATTAGCATTTATAAGTTAGTTGATTGAACTTGTACTGTCGTCAAAATTAACACAAACTGACGTAAAGAACTCTGACAGGGTTTCACGGCCACATAAAAATACAATGGTTGCCTTATAACATTAATACATAATTAATCAATCTTAAAATAGACTAAGTAAATAATATAATAGAACAGTAAGCGAAACAGTTTGCATTTTTTTAAATTGATTTCACTACAAATATAAGACTTTTTTCGAATATATGTAAATTATAGATTATGGAGATGGTCATATATGGAAATTCCCAATCTGACCTATGCCTGTGGTACACCCACAGATATAGATCATAGTGGGAATTCCTCTTCTCCCCTTTTGGAGGGATTATTTTCCCCTTGGGGATGAAGAGGAGCTAGAGGGGAATGATTGGATGAATGGGGAATTTCCCAATCACACGGACGTGGATAATTTGAGCTTTGATATGTTAGGCAATTTTGGCACTTCCGTACAGGCATAAGAAAACTATAACAAACAAGAAATATAACAAGCAGCACAATATGGGTCATCTTCAAATATAATAACACCTATTGAGTTATATATCTATTAATGTTAATGTTGGATTCTTTATTGACGGATGTTTTCTTATAAACCTGGATTTTGTGGAGATTTAGGAAAAATCTAAGTAAAGCAAAACAGTGGAAACACACTTCGTGAATTTAGGTGACAGTTGCCACATGTCGATAGTTTATTTAGCTATTTGTTTAAATAAAAAAAGGGAACTAAATTTTGTTTCTTATTTTTTCTATTCCCGCTTAAAGTAACACATAGGTCTCTCCTATTATCATACTTTAGGCTTTAACATTAAGTTTCTGATAGCGGGGGCATCTTTTACAGACATCACCTATACATTTATTTACATAAAGAGCAAAATTTTCTTATAAGTTTTGCTGTAAATAGTGTTGTAAAAAAATATCTGTAATATGTGTTATTAATATAATAATTAAAATGAGTTGTGCCCATTTGTTGTTGATAATCAAACGCCAATGATAAATAAAATCAATAAAACAATAAATAAAATAGTAACGTACTCAAATGTATTAGTGAAATTATTTTTTCACCCATTTTAGTATTTTTCTCAATTTCAGTAATCTTATAAAACTTATTTACATGAAACCTTAACACACAAGCAAATAATTTTCGCTACATTTACGATTTGTCAATATATATTTTTATTTCTATATTTAAAATTAATATGTTTTTTTATATTAATTTATAAGCCCTTAAATACGTTTGAATACAATGTGCATTTCAATATACGATATATATATCTATACATATATATGAAAATGAAGCTCATAATATATACATACATATGGCCGTGACTCTACCTGTTGTGGACACAAATATTGCATTGAAATTGACGATACTACATCTTATTTTCAAATAACCTTGCTTAATTTTTGTTAACATCTAACATTATAATGTTTGGTAATATTCTATCCGCAAATGTTTTAGCGGACTGTGTTTTTACACAAAAATAACTAGACGGATTCAAATGGAATATTGTACACAGATAGATCATACGAGCATATCCGATTTATAGATTACTTTTTACTCGAATTCATTCAATTTTCGCCACGAGGTATACCTAAATAAAAATTATAATAGTGTTGCACTGCGCGTTTAAAAAGGAATTTATATTATACATTGCCTTACTTTGATTATCGAGGGATCGTTTACTCGAAAAGTACAAACACTTGTATCCTGATTGTTTATATCGGTCTGGATATTTTCTTCTATTACTCGTAGTGTTATCGGTTAACAAACAAAAAAAATGACTGGCTAAGATAACATTTAAATAAAATTAAAATTGTATTTTTATTCTTGGAAGATGTGAAGATATTAATTCTTTGAAACACCAGGCAAAAAGTTTGTTTGTAATTATGGCTCTAAACATTGAATCATTACGAGCACATCAATTAATCAATTAAGATCAGTCAGTCTGTGCCGAGCCTAATTGTTTTGTAATTCGTAATAAAATTCGCATATAAAGAAAGAGCGATAATAGCCAAATAAAAATGGCGTCCTAATGACATTTTAGTTAATTGATTAATTAGTTTTCTAATTGTTGCGTATACTTAGGGCATATTTTGTAGATTTCATTTTCTATCATTTCGAATGACAACATTTTCTGTGAGAAAAATGTTTTATATACATTCATAAAATAAAGTCGTTCATTAGTAAATATGTATTCAAGCATTCGTAGCTAAAAACATCGAAACATGTAATAAAAGAAATCCTTGTATTTGGTAGTCATGTATTAGCAAATATTATCAAAAAATAAATATCGTGATTAAATTAAAAATTGAATGTATAGATTACATACGTAATGTTTCTAAGAACTTTCATAACAAAGAAACAATAATTAGCACATATTATATCAGTATCGTATTCAATTATTTATTAAGTAGAAATAAAAACAATAGAAATATCAATTACTAACTATCAAGTAAGATTAGTTGATGAGTTAAAAAAATGGAGTTGATATTGCAGCGTACTACAATACTCGCGAAAATACAAGCGTATACCC